TAGGCGGGGATGGGAACAGCTCCCGCCCCGGACACAGCCCTGCCTTGCGGGGCAGCAGCCGAGCCGGGGATGCCCTCGGGGGTGAAAGCCAAGCTGGGAGGGGAGCGGGGCCAGCCCCCACGCGCGGCCGCACTCGTGAATGGGCGTCGCGCTGAGGCGCGTGAGAAGAGACACGCGTCCCCTCGTGGCTGGGGGCCTTCCCCCCGGCCAGCAGCGGGCTCCAGGGGGAGAGGACAGCGGCTCCTAGGAGGGATTGCCAGAGATCCAGTGAGTCCCGTAGGTGCCTGAGACAGTCCTGCCTCCTCCTGGAAGTGGAGGCGATCAAGGGATTCCCCTGGCTCCCTGCAACGTCTGCTGGTGACTGACTAGGGGCATCCAGGGGCTCTTCTGAGCTCTTGCAAGTGAAGGAAGAGACTAACCGGGAATCCAACTGGTGACTGAGTCGGGAGGGGGTCCCTAGGAACCAGTGACTTCTTCCCCATCCCATGGGAATATGAAACCTGCCAGCCTTTCCCCCTTCTTTGTGGCCACCTTGCTCCTCTCCTTCCCCCCAGCCCTGAGGTCGGAAGAGAGGAACCCTCTCTCCGGCTCCCAGCCTGGGCAGCAGCTGCAGCGAGAGCCCCCCAGCTTCTCCCGGCTCCAGAGGAAGAGCTTGGCGGTAGATTTCATCGTCCCTTCCCTGTTCCGGACCTACCTGCGGGAGCTGCTGCTGGGCGGCAGGGAAGCAGGGGACCGACTCCGGGCGCGCTGCAGTCTGGTGTTGGAGTGCGCGCCCCTGCTTCGGGTGGCCCCCCCCGCGGCCGCCGGCCCGGGCCCGAAACCTGTCCAAGGTGCTGAAAGGGGGCTCGGTGCGAAAGCTCCGCAGAGCCAAGCAGCTGGTGCTGGAGGTAGGAGAAGGGAGCCTGCGGGAGGGTTGCGCCTGGGACCCGGCCCGGGCGGCGGGCGAAGAAGCGGAGCCAACTACGGGGGAGCTGGAGTTTAACCTCACCGAGCACCGCGGCCGCCGGCCCGGGCCCGAAACCTGTCCAAGGTGCTGAAAGGGGGCTCGGTGCGAAAGCTCCGCAGAGCCAAGCAGCTGGTGCTGGAGGTAGGAGAAGGGAGCCTGCGGGAGGGTTGCGCCTGGGACCCGGCCCGGGCGGCGGGCGAAGAAGCGGAGCCAACTACGGGGGAGCTGGAGTTTAACCTCACCGAGCAGTTCAGCTGGTGGATCCGCTCCGGAGAAGGAAGGCTGAGGATCCGGTTGATGCCCGAGAGGAAGGCGGCGTTCCTGGGCAGAGAGAGCAGCTTATCCGCGGCCATCAGAGCCGCCCAGCCCCGCCTGCTCTTTCAGATCTCCTGGAGAGGTGAGCGCTCGCTTTGCATGCTCTGGCGCCACGGTTCGCACCCCGCGCGCTCCGTGTCCCCGGCTAGCCCGGAGAACTTCCGCATCGG